TTCTGATGTTTTGTTTTCCCCAAAATATACTGTTACCTTGCTATTCTTTATTTTAGGCTTCTTCTTTTATGCTTAGTGAAGCTAAACATTTGAAATCCTTGGTTTGGTAATATGAAAACAAAATTAAAATGTTAAGATTGTGAAAGAATTAGCAGCTTCCTATCATAATTACATCAACAATTTGAAAATGAAGAAAATAGGAAAATATGAAACTGAAATATAAAATATAAATGTTTTTCTTTCACATAAATATGAAAATACAATAAAGCTTGGAGAGGGTTGATTCAACTGTTGAAAGCAAACCAGAGTGTCTGAAAGGGTACAAAGGCAAAGAATATAAGAATAAAGAACAGAGAACAAAGGAGGAAGGAGATCCAGCAGATGTGCCCTGATCACAGAAACTGGTAAACTTTATTTTTAAGGAGAGAATTTATAAACAACAAAGTACACAGTGGTAACACTCAGAAATATTAGTTGTTTTTATATGAATTTGAGATCAGACTATTTCTATTAAATATAAACAATGCTGTATGAAACAATATATTTGGAAAAACTAGGAGAAAATGAGCTAAAGATTCAAAATAAAGAAAGAAATAGAAGACAAAGGAAGAAATATAATCTAAATGGTTATGACGCACACAGGAATGCAGAAAACGTGTATAGGTTTGTATTACTATTAATTTGGAAATTAAGGAGACAGAGATAGGGCTTTTTAAAGTCCCTAATAGGAAATAAAATACTCGAAAACAAACAAAAAAAATATCGGATTAAATCTGAAGTACTGTTTTTTTATCTTTTTTAATATTAAAAACTTTTCTCTAGAACTTTGATTAATGATAAAATATCTTTCTCTTTCATTAAGTTTCATAAAATTTCCTGATTTTTCTTTCTTATGTGACTATATTAGAACATTTAATTATTTCTATGACTTCCCTGGCATTTTTATTATTCTCTTTATCATCTCATGTTTCTGAATAATAAGTTTCATTTCTTCTTTGTATAATTTCTCTATGAGATAGAGGGGTGGTAGCAAAAAGAGTGAAAATTAAATTCCACATATTTTGTTCTATTTCACCTATTTTTTGAAAACTAGCATTTATGTATTCAACACAAATAGCAATATGAAATGAAATAATTTAGCATACCACGTAAGTTGTTTATTCAAACCAAATTTTTATTGCATAGACTGTAGCAACTAGTACTGCTTTTGTGAAGGAAAACAACCCATACATAAAAGTTATTTTATGCATGCTTTGCAAATTGTTTAACGATATACATTCTGATTGCATGCTTGTAGTTCAGACAAATTTATTACTTTTGAATATGTTTTCCCACACACATTATTATATTTGCTATTTGGTAGGTGCATCTGAATTACTCTAAGAAATAAGAGTCTAAAACTTGAATGTGGGAAGACGAAAGCTAACAATGTCTTCAAAATAATCCTATATTTTCCATAAAGTGTAATCTTTTTTCCTATCAAATATCAAAAAGTATACAATTTAAAGATACAGAAGACAACCACTGACATATCCACCAAAAGATACTCATTATAAAACAAAGTAACCAAAATGACAAAAAGTTTTTCTTCAATATTTTTACATAATAGTTACATCAAATTTAAGTGGCCAAAACAACTTGAGTTCTTCACAGAAACAAAAATGCTGGGTTTGGAGAACCACTCAAAATTTTGCCACCAATTTAAACTGCCCCTCTGTCTCAGTGAAGAAACTTATCAAACAATTACTTGTGCTTTATGTGTATTTTACTGTATATTTTTTCATTATTTCTAATAGTAACATTTTTCCTTTTCAACCAAAAAAAAAAAAGAAAGAAAGAAAAAGACCTTAATTTACTTGGAGGATATGAGAAAGAGAGAGAAAATAAGAAACTCGAGGACTACCAGTTTGAAAATTGTAATGTAGAGTCAATATTTCCCCTTTTTATTCCTGGAAATCACTCCAAAGTATATAAACAATTATGCAAATGCCCTATTTATCGAAAATAGGGAATAGTGAAATCCTAGACCTCCACATCAATGGAATGGTTCCAAAACCAGTAAATATTGAGCAAAAGAGTATGCAGAAAGAAACAGAGAAAAGAAACCTTAAAGAAGTAATCGAGATACTACAGATTTCAAAAAGAGCTAAAAACAAACCTCCCTCTAAGGTTAGGGGCTATGGCTTATTATACTGTAGACATGATGCAACAGTTTCAGGTAGAGGCATCTGCAGAAGAAGTTTAGTTCCAAAAAGCAGAGAAAGTGAGGCTAAATGAGGAACTATGCAGAAAAGATGTATTTGTAGAAAGCAATTTATATTTGTGGAAACAGAGAAGTAAAGTCTCATTGTGGGAAAAAATAACAAAACAAAATAACAAAAACCACATTGTGTATCTCCATTGGCTAGACTAAGAAAAACTTACTTTGTTTAGTAGTCCAAAAGAAAAACTGGATCAGCACAGAATCTATATAAAGATATTATAAGAGAAAGAGAAAAAAGAAAACCAATGGCATATCGAGAATGTACACTAAAAATATATTGCCATCAAAGAAGTAAAAAATTGTGATCAAACATTTCATTATGAATTTTTAAAATGTAATGATTATCAACCACCTCTCTGAAGCAAATCTGTAGTACAGAAATGCAAGATATCAAGAGAAGTTAGCAAGAGAAGAACAAGAGATAAATTGTAAACTTTCAATGCTCAACTGAATGATATAATTGAAAACAATAAAAGCACCATAAAAATCAAGAAGAAATTGGAAGTAATACAGGGGAAAAGAGAATACTAAAAGCCTAAGAAGGTGGCAAAGATTAAAGTGATAAATACAAACTAAGTAAATGATATTAATAAAGAATCAAAAAGAATTAGAGAGGAATTATTGAGTGCATCGCAGATAAAATTAATCCAATCTACACATAAAAGGAATCCCTGAAAAAAGAAACCATAATAATAAGATAGAGCAAATATTTAAAGATATAAGTCAAAAAATTATTCCTGCAATAAAATAAGACTTGTACATCTTGGGGGTAAAATAACAAATACAAAAAAATAATCAAGTCCCTGGGCAAAATAGTCCAGAACAGTCAGCACAAGGAAAAATAGTCTAGTAAAGTCACTAGGCTTCAATTATAAATGAAGAATCCTTAAGTCAGCCAGGCAAATGAGAATTTCCTAAATTCTCCAATGCTAGAAGAATGAAGAACAACATGATCCTCAGCCAAACTACTTCAAGCATAAGGCAAGAGACAAACACTTTTGAACATGCAAGATTTTAGAAACATTTCTTCCAAGAGCTCTTCCTCAGGAATCTATCTGTGGTGACTTATCCATCGAAGAGATGATTTAAAAAACGACAACAAACTTGCCGACAGCGTAAGCTCCTGCTTGAAGCAAATCCTCCCCCAATGGACATTGGAGCCTTGCAAACGATTGTAGCTCTGGACAGCTTGACTGCAACCTCATGAGATACCCTGATCCAGAATCTTCCAGCTAAGCCATTCCTAGATTCATCAACCCAGGAAACTATGATAGAACCATTGTTTGTTGTTTTAAGTTGCTACATTTTAGGGTAACTTGTTAGGTAACAATGAACAACTAAAACAAGGCTTGAAATGTATTGAATTTGAAGAGATTGGAATGCTGGAAAAGAGGAGAAGGCTTTTTTAAAGAGAGTTGTTGATGTATTGTGAGTCTCACCATTTCCCCATTTGGAAGTCTAAGGGATATCACCATCCTCAAGCATAGTGACAAGGGCTCCCAGCAAACCATTTGGGATTGACATATGTTCTCTGGATTTATAGAACACCAAAACTCATGCTAGATCTATGTTTGGAAATGGCTAAGAGGCTGTGACTGTATTGCTGCTGAAGGCAGGATAGCTGTCGCTACACTGGGAATGGCTTGCATGTGTAGAGTTTGTCAGGGCAAAAGGCAAATGAATGGTTTTATAGATGGATTAGACCAAGTGAGAGAAAGAGCCAGTCAGGAGACATCTCAGAGTGACTTTGATCAAAAGAGACATATGAGGGAGCCACAGAAAGCAACAGTAAGAATTACATGGGGTGAACCACCACAACTAGATACTTAAAGGAGAGGAAGCATTTGTTTCATTAAAGAACAGCAGGTAGGACATCACTGGTGAATGAGAGGATTGCCAAAGAACCTGGAAAAATACTCCAAGGAAAAGAACCAACATTTAATATGTGATACGATCAGCAGAAAATAAGAACCCCACTTCTTCCCTGTAGGAGGGCAAATCATAGTGGGGACATTGGAAGTTAAAGTCAAAATGCAGGCTGGGAAAACCAGAGAAGAAGCTGACGACATTACCCCTCCCGTACCAAGCCTGAAGCAGAAGAGAACTGGGAAAAGGAGGAGCTTTAATGTTAGTAAGTTTAAGAGTTTTGACTATTACATGGAACTGTTATTAATTAATAAAGGATACCTTATGTTCTGCTCTTTAACATAATGGCTATGTGATTGCAACTAAATTTGTTATTTAAAATTAGTAAAAATAACAGTATTTCATACCATAGTAATAGATATCACACAATTATCAACACAATAAAAGCTCTATAATTCTAACTCAGACCTTCAAACCTTGGACTGCTACTGAGAGGTAACAACACTATACAGATAATATTAACTCAAGCCTCCCCGGTTAAATAAGAAAACTGCTTCCAGAACAAAACTGACATATGGCAGCATAGCATACCATTTTTGTTCTACCAAGTATGGTCTCATATAGGCTGCCCTAAAGAATGTATATATAATCATTTTTAGAACAACCAATAAGCCTCTACTGGAATACAGCTGAAAATTAAAACCTTCATGCATTATGAGAAAAGGATAATGCACTGTTAAATAAAGTTGGGTTTCATTTTTCTTTTGTTCTAACATCAACTAGTTATTGGTTCAAAAAAACTTGTGATTTTTTAATTATAAAAATAAACAAAAACACATATAAACAGATAAAGAAGATTTGGCAACACTACCTCCGAATATGATGCTCTCGACTACAGAGATGTAGTCTTCGGGCCCCTGCTCGACTGAGATCTCCCATCCGCCTCTGGAGATATTTAATAGTTTGTAGAGCTGATCTGAACTCTCCACCCCACACAGCAGGGTAACCACACTTTCTGGTGAATGAAGTATCTTTTCCAGAAACAGACATTTCTTTGGAGTTAGGTCTTTAAGCAGGCTATTTGATAATATCAAAAGTTTACACGTGTAGGAATTTAAACTCAGCAACTCCAAATCCCGAAGAGAGTAATTCTCCAAGTGATACAACAGGATTGCTTCCCTTTTCACGACATGTAAAAAAACTTTCCTCAAGTACAGAGCCCATTCCTCAGCATCTTCTTCAAATAGCATTATGATGTCTTTTGGGTTTTCTGGAAAAAGAGAAAATAATATATTAATTTTCTTAAATTTTAAATGTTAACAGGGGTGATATTATTTCTCAGAAAGTTGAATGTACTCCTTAGGGAATATATTTGCATATATGAGAGACTAATAATATAATTCACATTGTCTGCATCACATGAGATTAAACAAATCCTTCACATTCGACATGGTTCATGCTTTGTGCAAGTCTACAATGTACTCACTGTACAAACGTGAATCTAGGAAGTGAAAGGCCTAGTGATAGAATGGAAAGAATATTCTGTGGGTTAGGGGCACTGGGCTACCAGGCATGGCTCTCCTAGTAACCACAATTTTACCTAGATTATGATATTTAACTCCTTTGAGCCATTGTTTCTCACACCAAATGAAGGTTTAAAAAAAATAAGACCTACCTAATGAATCGGGCTAATTTGAGGAGAAACGAGAGAATATACATGAGAGAACTTTAAGATCTTCCTTCCAGGTAAAGATGGGTATATAAAGATAGATTACAGAAATTTTCATGTCCAGAAAACCAACAAAATAAAACTTTCTAAAATAATAAATTTAATAGGAAAAAAAACAAATAAAGCAGATATTATTTCATGTCATAAACTAAAAAGTTGATTCTGATGAAACAAATAAAAGGTTCTGGTGGGGCAGTACTAATCCTAAACTTATCTCCCGCTCTCTAGAACTAGTACTGATGAAAAAATCTGAGTCACCAAAACTACCAGGATTTTTCACGATATAAACATTATCTCTAAGGACAGAAGTTTTCTTTCAATTCATAGATTCCTATACAATTCTTAATGCTATCGCTTGAACAGATATTTAACAAAAATTTAAAAATATATTTACATACAGAATGAGAAAACAAACATCTGGCAGAAAACATATGGGAATCATATACCAGCAATGTATGAATCATCAGTATAGTTGTTATTCCCCATGTAGTGGCTCACCCAGACAGAATTCTAAATACTTGTTGAACAAAGATAAACCTAGTGTTATAATTCAGTATTTTCATGTTTGATGAACAGTAGAGGAAGAGTTTCTTTATGACTAGCAAGAGTAACTTGTATAGTTACAAAATAACTGTGGTAAACATAAAACTAATAATAATTTAAATTATTGAGTACTTAAAATAAACTAGGACTCCTAGTGTTTTACATATGTTATTCACTTAATTCTCAAAAATACCCCATTAAGGTACTAATATTATTCCCACTTTACAGATGGGAAAATGAAATTGGTTTTGGAATTAGGATTCCAATGCAGGCAGTCTGACCCTATAGTCTGTACTTTTAACCTCTAACAGCAAAGAACAATATAACACTATTTAAAACATCAAAATATATTCTTTGTAGTGATAAGAGCTAGATTAGTCAATATTAAGCAGCCTATAAATTAATCTTAAGTATGCAAAGTATGTGACAGCTTACTGGGAATCTGGTTTCTTCTCAAGGAAAAAGAGGAAATAGACTATATGACACACTCCAAGGGTATTGTTATTTATGATGAGTTTATAAAACTTCCTTCTTGACTCTAAAATTTAAATCAATAAGGTTATAGAGTAAGACATGAGGATATATTAAAGTACAGAATGAATACTCTCATATTATATTGTTAGATATGACACTGCAATAGGAAGACAATAGGAAATTAATTCTAGTGACAATCACAAACTATCTTCCAAAACTACCCAAGAAAATTAGATGAGGTAGCCTTTCTCAATATGGCCATTTTTTTCTTATATTGCAATTGCGTTTTCCTTTTAAATTTGTATTTGACTTATACTCAGTCAATATCTCTATTTGACAGTTTTCAAAAACCTGAAGATTATCATTAAATGTCATCCCTTCCTTTTCTATAGATTAAAACACTTTTGTCTTTGAAATTTTCATTTTCTCAGTTATTATTTACCAAGACTTTCCATGTACCCAGTATGTTGTTAAGCACTTAACATGCATTACTTTATTTAATATTCATAAACCTGCATGAAGTTGGCCTTGTTCTTATTTTACTGATAATCACATTAAGCCTCAGATTAGTTAGGTAACTTGTCAGGGCCATGAAGATAGTAATTGGTATTTCTGCTGCCTTCTAACCCTTTTGAATGAAACTGTGTTGAGTCAAAATATAAAAGTTAATAGAAGTCCTTTTCATAGCCATGGTTTCATTCGTCCTTATCCTAGAAAATACAAGCTCATCCTTGAGTAACATCTGAACTGCAGACCCAACAATAGTTTTCTATGAATTCTCAAGAGGAACCTACTTGCCTTGCAATGTACTTTCTTTTATAAACTTGAACTACATCAAATGTAAATCATTATGCTGTCCATTTAAGGAGGAGTATTGCTATTAAATTTGGCCAATTTTTATAGGCTGTGAAATGAAACAATAAATGATGAACCTGAAACATAAAAACACAAAATTGTCATTCCTGAAAAAGCTTCATCAAAATTAAGAGAAATTGCTATTGAAGATGCAATTAAGGTCTGAAAGTATATCTACAATGTAAATATCCAGTCTGGCAACATAAAGTAAATGACAGCATTATACAATGGTAGGAACAAAATAGAGCCATTTAATTTTATAAATTTGCTATAAAATGTTCTTTCAGATTCCACAATGATCTTATTTATCTTGCAACAATGCTATAACAAGTTCTTAAACTTAAAGGTAATTTGTATCAATAATTGATATCAATAACTGCTTTTGCACTGAGAACAGATTATGTTACACATTGCCAAAAGAATGAGACTGATCATAAATCAAAATCCTTCCTGTTACATATTCACAGCTTCAAATGGAAATTTTTTTTCTTTTTGAATAAGGTCTTATCTCTTACCCATGTTGACTGTGCATAATGAAGAAATATTACATGATTCATCTTTTCAATATTCTATTTTTCTAACTGGTAACAGAAGTGCAGAAGAAAACAGAAAATTATAAAGAAATGATTTGTAGCCATAATGGACTTGGTAGTGATAAATGTGAACATTAATCTTGATATAATCATACATACACATTTCTCCTCCAGGAATGTTGGTTAATTTCACTTATTCATAGTGACGAAAGGTACTAGGTGTTTTCTGTATATATCCATGTATTGGAGCTGTGCACATTTCACATCTTCCTGAGCCACCAGTTATGGCTTGATGGTCAGTTGTTAGGCATAACATTTTCAACCTCTGCTTGCTACCTGAGGACTTTCTCGGGAGCCGAGGGCACTGCCTTGGCCTATGTGCTTGCCTCACAGCTCAAAGTTGCTGGGAATTTAGTGCATGGAGAGCTGGGCGGGGTTGGGGGGAGCAACTTTCAGTCAATGAAGGATGGAAATCAATGTGTAAATAACTCAGCTTCATCATCTTCAGTGGGACAATCCTGAGGTTTGTTCTAGACAGTATTAACTGCTATTAAATTATAATTGTTCACATTATTCTGCTTATTATACACATTATTGGCTTTTCTTTCTTTCTTATCTCACATTCCTCATTTTCTCACTCGCACTTCACGAGTTCATGCTCTAAATAAACTACCTGTATTCATGTCTATTTCTCAGAGTTTTCATCAAAGGAAATCTCTGTATATATATATATATGTTAATTAACTTAGTTATTTCTTTCAAATACGGATTTTAGATCTGTGAGGTTTTAATATGTTTCAAATGCTTAATTCAAGTTTGTGGAATTAAGTATTCAATTTCTGCAATGTCCATCTCCTTTTCTGCCTTTTATTGCCATTACTCTATAGATTAGTGGATCTAAGATAGCACTGACCACAAGATAGCCCATTGCCTGATATTCCTCTAAGAAAAAAGTACTAGGTCAAATAAATCATAATATACCACAAATTTTAAGATGAATTCTGATTTCAGAGAATTCGACTAGCCCCCCCCCAAAAAAAAAAAAAAAAACATTGTAAAAATCAATTAAGTATGGTAGCGGTATCTCTCTCAAGTGTTTCTCATTTCTCCAGTTCACACTCAGGAATGATCTCCTTAGGACTTGAATATTTTCCATAATTTCTCCAGACCGACTCACCCACTGTGGATTACATTACCCAGGCTCTCATGCTCACTCCAATAGAAAGCACCATCAGAACATCAGAAGGTGAGTAAAAGAAACGATAGGGTTGTTTACTGGCTCTCTAATTCACCCTGCTCACCCTGTTTCTAGTTTTGGCAGTAGCTGCTTTCTTTCATGGCCCTTATATGGCTTCTCTTCTATGACTCCAGTTTTCATGCAGCTCTAGCAACCGTCTTCCCTCCCATTCCCTCAAAGGCATAGTAAAGGCTTCTTGCTATTAGTCTTTGACCATTTGCTATCCCTCCTTGAGTTAATAAATAACTTCTTTGTTCAATTTTTTTCAGTTAAAAATCTTTGATGGTGGCATGTTTTCTTCCAGAGTCCTGATAAATACAGGTACTAGAGTGGCCACAGGAAACAGACTCTATGAGGTGTATTTTGGAAATAGGTCGTTCTTATAATTGTAGGGAACACAAGCAACCCCTTGCCAAGGGAAAATAGTACACTGGCAATTTATGGCATGCAGAAGCACCATAGTGACTCAGATTTGCACCAGTGATAATTTGGGACAGATTGTCAATGGAGGGTAAAGATTTAGGAGATCAAGTATCTGAAATTCAGTTAATATGATGACAAACAGGGATTACGGAGATTAGGGGTGAGGGTTGGAGAATGGCTTCTCTGACTGTCCTAAAGAGCATGCATATGACTAAGAGCTACACCTCCAGTAGCAGGCAAAACCCTTCCAACTCAAACTAAGATTCTCAAACTAAGGTAAAACCATCACTTAGGAAAGTATGGAATCACATGACTTGAGAGCGAATGATTAGGGCAGAGGTGAGGCTGAGAACTTTAAACTTTCAAATGTCTTGGCAATTTTTTTTTTTTTTTACCAAGGCAACCTGTATTTCCTTTAAAAGCACACAAACAAACAAAAGCAAAGCAAAATAAAAAATAAAAAGTTTTCAAGAACTTCACTTGAGGCAATTGCCTTACGAGTAATGTCAACTTTTCTCAGAATCCATGCCCTCAATGACTGCCTCTAAGATCAATACCTAGAGTTAGATCCCATAACTGAAAGAAATTATTTGAGGGAAACTATTTCATACATAGAAATTATTATAGGATTTTGCCAATGTGTAGCAGCATAAGTCTGGAAAGTATGTATGGCATGTATTTTAAGAGTTAATTACACCAAGGAGGGCAAAACAGAAGACCGAATCTGACTGAATCCATCAATATGGTTGTATTCACATAGAATTCAGAATTTAATGTGTTATTTCGAGTACCTGGAATGGTATTAACAGCCTATTAGAATGGATAATTAAAGTTTGGACTGTGTACTGGCCTACAGTCAATGTTATTACAATACCAGAACTTGCCTACCTTGGTAGAGAAAAAGGGTTAGCGGGAAAACTTTTTTGGTGACGGGCTAGGTAGCAAATATTTTAGGTTTTGGTGTTCACATAGGATATCTTCTATTTTCTTTTCTTTCTTCCCTTCCTTCCTTCCTTCCTTCCTTCCTTCCTTCCTTCCTTCCTTCCTTCCTCTTCCTTCCTTCCTTCCTTCCTTCCTTTTCTCTCTCCCCCTCTCTTCCTCCCTCCCTCTATCCCTCTCTCACTTTCTTTCCTTTCTCTTCCCCCTCTTCTTTCCTCCTCCTCCTCCTACTTCTCCTCTTCCCTTCCCTTCCCTTACTCTCCTCCCCCAGAGACCTACAGCTATGTGTACTGGGTAAAAAAAAACATATTTGAGAAAACATGAGTTATATGTTCCAGTGCTTATTAGTAACTGACACAAATTCCTGAAGACTGAAAATGCCACTGACACAAATTCCTGAAGACTGAAAATGTCACCATAGCATACTGGTAAGAGTGGGGACTTATGGAAGTACGGTGTGATGATAAATCATATTTTGTCTTAGGTATATCTAATAATAGTTTCAGTGAGCCCATATTAATACCCTGTGGGTATTTCTAAAGCCACAAATATATACCGGTAATACATGAACATAGGAAATGGTAGAATCCTTACAGAGAATGAAGATATTACTGTGGGAAGGAAAAAATATTAGTCTCTGGAACTGTTCAACCCCATTCTCTCACCACCACCAAAAGAGTAAATTAAAACAAATACTGGGATAATTGTAAAGATAAGTGCCACCAGCAAAATGTGAACAATTATAATGGTGGTTATTTCTTCACACCTCTGCTTAATTCAGCAGTTTGCCAATATAAAATAACGGTCAATTTTCACAAACATTATCAGGTGTTGATATCAATCAACTACTGTTGTATACATGATACTTTTACTGAATAGGAACAGGCATGAAAATATACTGGCACCAGTCCAAAATGAATGATTGCTGCATTAGAGCCCCATTCATGGTTATCCCTGAAAGAGAATGGTGAAAGGAAATTTTCCCAGTTGAATGAACTTTGAGCAGTATCTCTAATTGTCCACTTTGCTTTGAAGAAAAGGCCTACACTATGGTTCTACTTAGAGTAAAAGAAGAAAGAGCGGAAAAAGCTATGCTTATTTCAGAATTAAAAAATACAAACTAGATTAGTAATTAAGAAAACATATCTTTGAAACATGAGCCTACAAGTTACTTTCTTCTATGCAATAATATCCTTATATATTTTGTGGCTTTTACAAAGGCAGGTTAGATTTGAATTAATGTTTCTCTGTTTTCTTTATAAGTAACTGGACCTGTATAACAAGCCTATGGCCACACTGATGATCAACAAATGTTTGCTGAATATTTGATAGAATTACAATTGAGGCCCCAATAGGATCAAGGTTTGATTGTTTTTTACATGGCTGTAAGAAATTTCATACAGAAATAACTTCCCCTTTAACAAAGCACTTTCCACCAACAGAAAGTTAATTTCAAAACATATAATTAAACAAAGAGTAGTAAAGGTAGAGATCTTGAAGAAATGTAACAGAGATAAAATCCTTGAGTAATTATATCACTAGAGTAAATCTACATGACTATATGGGTTTGCCAAATGCATAGAAATGTACAAATTAAAAAAACAAATTTGATCTTACGTAGTAGATTATATCTCAATATTTATGACTGTAAAACTAATCCATAAGAAATAAATAAAATTATAAAAATTAAAAAAAAATATGTCCAGAGTGGCAACTCGCTAACAGAGTAACTAATGGATTTAAAATATCTTTTAAACTCTATTAATTTTTATGACCCCATGTTACCTAACACTAAAAATATATGAAGTCAGAATTTGATACAAATCTATATTAACTAGTCACTAATAAGTTTAGTACATCTCTAAACTAAAAGTTGTATCTTCTTTAAAAGACCTACTGAATATTAGTGGGAGCCAGGATTCAGGATAAGCTTGCAACCAGTATCCCTATTCTTATCTATTGTCTGCCATTAAGCTTCCTTGGTCTATGGTCCAAAATCTTCTGTGTTTGAGTGGATAACTCTGTCTAATTCTGAGATTTCACATGCAAATTCCACTTTCTAACAGATATACACTACATTAACCAATACAAATTTTATCAATAATAAAGGCAACATTTAATTTCCCCTCTGCCTTATTTTTTGGTCTTATTTCTCAATTGCTTAACAACAGAAGAATTGAAGCAGCATATTTATTGTTCCATCCTCATCCCCATCCCCAATACAAGCCTTTGTGTTTTCTTTTACTGAAAATGGCTTAACACTTGATTATGAACGTGACACATTTTCAAAGAAACATACACTGAAATTTCATTCAATAGGAATAATATGAAAAATGCATTCTTATGAACATTATGATGTGTTTGTATGCTGTATGCTATAATTTTAA